ACAAATGCCATGGAATCAGAATTTCTCAAATCATACCTTTATAAATAAAATTGTGGCATTAACGTTATGCTTTATGGTACAAGTACTCTACAATTACAATGATCTCATTTGAGCCTGACTTCTGAGAATTGACTCCCGTTGCTTTGAAGCCACAACATAAGGCAAATGTTGAAACTAAAATGCCGACCCTGGTAAAACTTCAGGGATAAACATCCGAGAAATATCCACTCTTACAAGATTACATCTATTTGAAGCCCAAAAAATAAAAATAAAAAGATTACATTGTATTAGTTGCAGCTCAGAAATAAAAATTGTCACCTATAGGTGGTTTTAAGATGCAGGGGCATGTTCTTGGATTGCTGTTGCCAGATTGTTCCGGTCCTCCTCTGTTTTTGTTCTAATTAAGAAGGTACGTGCCACGACATCATCATTATTGCCACTATCATCCTACAAAATCCAAGAGAATAAACAGTGAGTTCTTTCGAGTGAAGCATAACAAAAATGTTACTCCTGAATGCCAACAAGATTTATAATTACAAAGTTATACGACCTCACTAGCTGATGGCCTGAGTCAACCTCTTTATATAAAATCAAAGATTTTACAATATCATTCTTACTAATTTCACGTAAATTCAAGCCAATCAGAAAAGGAAATGAAAGGTTACAGCACAAACTAATGAATTTTAAGGAAGTTGAGTTAGCAAATATCAGCTTTGTACTACATTACCAAAGTATGAAATATCACAACAAGTGAGTTCTTCTGTCCGCTTGTCTTAATTCCTGGATACAGCAAAGCATTAAGCAATACCTTTCCAACCTGCCATCAATAAAAGTTTCATAAAAGCTAGTTAAAAACTTGCAAGGAAAGTTTAGTTCTCCGGAAATCAATTTCTGAAAACATTACATCCTTAGGAAACATACATCATTTCTAACAACAATTGTTGGTTTGGAATCTTTTGATCCCTTGCTAACACCCTCTTTGCATTTTATTGAAAGCTGTCCTGGGCCTTTATCTTTCCATGAATCTTTATCTGCTGTATCATCCGACTGAACATATGAAATGGTAAAAAGGAGGTCACGACCAACAACTCAGGCTGGCACCTACTACCAGCAAATAAGACTGAATTAAAATATTATGTTAATAACACACATTAAGAGAACGTCACCAACTATCAGAAAATGCACAACTGATGACAGGCAAAAACGAAAAACATAGACAATTCAATTTTCTCATTACAGAGAAGCAGAGTCAAAAGAGCACAGAAAATTTTCCCACCATGAAAAATTGGTCACAGTCAGAAGTTTAAAAAATTTCTCTGAATCTCAGTGCTATTCTGATGAGCATCATCTTATAAATGACACATACCTTGACATAAAGCTTACATTTCACTTCATGAACCACAATAATACCCTTCTCTTCAGACTTCTTTACTGATGGGCTGCCAGGTTGTGGCAACTCATCCTCTGAAACTCAAAATAGCATTCATCATTATGTTATCAGATGACACATATGCATGCAAAAGAATGAGCTCCTAGCACTCTTATTGGAACAAGATACAAACAAGGGGAAGTAAGCTCAGAGGCTGATCTACCAGACTCCGAACTAAGAACTAGCAAATGATAATTTTATTGTTTCAACAAGGAACAGCCAAGTTGGCAGGTATAGAAAGATGACTCTTGTTATTAAACACATACTAGCATATAATGTTTTCTTCTTTATCTAGCAAGTTAACAGGTGAAAATGAAATAGCAATTATGGGGCAATAGTTTTATAGAACTTCAAAGAAAGAAAGGAAATGGGTTGTTAATTTTAAGAAAGAATTCATTTTTGTTGAGTAAAAGCTAGAGTTATTCAGATCATGTCTAGTAAAAGCACCACTAGAAGTAGAAGACCCATCTTCTTCCTTTCTATTCTTATGGAAGAAGGGAAAAGGGAAGAACCCCAAGTATATCCTATGTGCAAGTTCCAAAGACAAACAGAGAAGTCAGTTAACTGATCGATTTCAATTAGAACATTTTTGAAGCTTGAAATAATAATAATTAAAAAAAAAAAAACCATGTAAATTGCACAAGATCAACTATGGTCAACCATAAGGAAAAAACCAGAGAAGCAAACAGAGAAAAGCTACAGATGAAAACGATCAGAATGAATGATAACATAGAAGTCATGAGAAATGATTAAAAGAAATCCAGTAAAGAACAGTAAAAAAATATATAGAGTTATCTTACCATCATCGGGATCAGCTGATGCATTATTGTTTGCAGAAACTAAGCCCTGATTACCTAAGGGAAAAAAAAAGAAGCAAAGTAGGAAGCAAATTGAAACCAAGCCCATGAAAGTAACATGAACTGATGAATAGTGAGATAAAGCAATTGGTTGAGATATTTAAGGAATTCCAAGTGATCAACTTGTTATTTAAAAGTTTTTTCTGACAATCAAGACATATATGTGCAATAGAATTACACAGGTTCAGGAAGAACATTGGTTAGTATGACATGCTTAGCAAAGATGAGGTTGTAGAATTAGTTTACACAAAAATATAAAGCATAATTGTTCAATTACAATAACCCTTGTACTTTAAATCTAGATTCCGACTAGAAAAAATGGTTTATTTAACACACAGAGATTAAAATCTAAAAGCTATGGATTTATGATCACATTCATTAGTAGCCTTCACAAACACTTCAGAAAGTAACAGAATATTGTACCTAGTACCTACCAAAAGAGACAGAAGTACTGCTAGAGAATGCTCCAGTGCCCCATGAAGTTGCAAAGCCAATAGTTGTACTAGCCGGAGAAAAGCTGCTTGTCATACCAGCACCACTAAAGCTTGTAGTTGTAGTTGTACCCTTTGTATTAAGGCTCATATTTGTACTTCCTGAAGTGAAGACTGTAGTTGTACCACCTGCATTGCCATTTGTACTTCCTGAATTAAAAACTGTAGTTGTACCACCCATATTGCCTGACGCAAAGGGAGTTGGAACAAAGCTCATATTCAAACTGCTTGAAGAAAATGTTGACGCTGAGCCAAAGGCAGTAAAGCCCATGTTCCCTGAGTTCCCTGCAAACAATTTTATCTCATTATTCTTAACTTCAGGTGCCAATTTATTCTGTATACTATGATGTGCAGCAGCAGCAGCAGCAGTCGAGCTCCCTTCTTTTACAGCATTAGTTTTGAGCCAATTGACAACGTCACTGAACTTCTCCTACAAGAGGGGAACAATGTCGTATGTCATTCAAGTTAACAGATAAAAGATCAAAACCATGCATTTACATGGTCCAATCCAATCTTGAATATCATTTCCAATCATACATTAATAGGAATCACAAGGAATCACCAAACCAACAGGCTATTTGCCAACTTCCAAATAACATTTCATTAGAAGGAGGTCTCTTTTCTGAAATCTACCCTACCATGGGATGTTAAAATCCATGCCTTGATATATGAATTTATGTATATAATGGGACACATGTTAACCATGATGATCTCATTAATGTTGGGTCATGGGTGCATAGAGGCAAACGTCCAGTGTGTCCCATAAAGATAAAGTTCTAAGTAGAGGTACTTGGATGTACAAACATAAGCTGTAAACATCCTCCCTTACAAGGAAAACTTGTGTGAAAACATTACCATAATGTTTGAAGCATGGGCAAGATAGTCTCGAACACCATCTTCCCAAAGTTCATCAGGATAGTTCTTCAGTTGTAATTGCACCCAACTGCAAGGAAAATAAACACAATAGACTTATCAACAAACATAAAAACCAATCTACAGATTCAGTAAGCATAGTAGTAACCAAAGCCTTTTTTGTGCTTTTCTTCTTTTTTGGGTAAGGAAGACACCTTGCAAATTGGTGATTGAGAGCTCTCACATGCTGTCGAGACAACTCAGCACGCTGTGGATCCAGCGGTGTTGTTGTAGGTAACTGTGGTTGAGATGGTTCTGCTCTTTGAGCATCAAATGGGGATCCTACCATTAATCTCTTATTTCGAAACTGCATTAATCATTAGATAGTTATACAATAAGCTCCTCTTTTTTCTCACATAGTTCAGTATCTAACCAAAAAAACCCCTTCCTGTGATTCAGCAAAACTAACAGAAAGAATTGAACACAGCACAGCATACATTAAGACTAACAAACTCAAAAAAAATTCAAATATAAATCATTCCTCGAAAACCAAAGTTCAATTCAACCACCCACAAGCATATTGCAGAAAAGTAAACGACGAGATTATGCTGAAAAGGAATCAGAGTTAGCATTTATTGAATTCCTGTGGTTTTCAATTTCCCAATGAGTGAAAACCATCACAACAAAACCCCATAATCAAGTTTCAGCTTTCCAATTTTATTCACTACGGCATTAACACAATCAGTATAAACAAGCTTAAAAACAATTGGGAGATTTTGAGAATTTCAGCTGTACAACAGCCAAACGTGGAAAAGAAAAGAAGATTGAAAATCTAGGAAACTCACGGCGGAATCCTTGGCGGCCGGCGCCGCGTCCGATGCCGAGAAACGTTTCGCTCCATTCTTCATGATTTTGAAAAAAAGAGAATTTAGGGTTACGCTACTTTCGGGCTTTAAAAGGGGAGCAACTTTTTAATTGGAGATTAAAATGAAGGGAAAAATGGAAATTAAAGTGGGCTGATTGATGCCGTCGATCCGGTGGGGAACTTCAACGTTTTAATCGCAGCCGTGCATTTGTTTTTGTGTTTCGTGGGCCAAGTGCGTTCTTTAATGCTGGGCTTATACCATCATGGACTCGTAATAATGAGTTTTTTAGCCCACTTTTTTTGGACTTGAAAGATCAAGGTACAAACTTAGGTCCGGAGAGCAAATACCTTTTTTATTTAAATTTGCCACTTTGCCTTCTTTTTTTTTTTTTTTTTCATTAATCTTCCAATATTTAAAAGTCACATTAGATATCTCTACACTTATTTTTCCATTTAAGGGATTCGAACCTTGAGAAAAATCGAATTCCTTCAACTTAAACCAACATATAATTAGTGCTATTTTGCTATTTAAATTGAAAAATATGAATTCTTAAATTAGAATGGTCCCAATATTAAAAAGACAAAAACAACTTTTTTAAGAATTTATATTTTTTTGTCTGATAATAGTTTTTTTTTAATAAAAAAAAGATATACAAAATAAAAATTAAAAAGAAATTGTTTGTGTACTTCTATTCAAATTTCAAGAGAGAAAAAAATGTGAATGTCAAATAATTATTAGCCGGCTCTCCCACCCCTTCTGTCTTTGCTGTCCCTTCTCCAAAATTAACAAGTAACCTTTAGGCCAAGAAAAAAAATTTTAAAAAGGTGTGATTCTGCAAGAAATAATCATACTAAGGGTCTGTTCTCTTCTTCTGTTTCTTCGCCATCCAACATTACCCTTTTCGCTTCACTGGAAGAGGATTTAGTTTGCTTGGTATCGACATTTGAGGTCGAAGTCCTTGAGACAGGTTTATTGTCTGGCAACAACTTTAGTATGATTCCCATGGCTATGAGCAGCAGTCCTGTTCCGTGCTGTTCTGTTAATGGCTTTGTGAATATCATGTAGGAGAGTAACAATGTAACTGCCTTTCTAGCAGTTGTAATCTGTGTTAACGCCAAAAACATCAGTTAGACATAATTATATACAATGTAAATATTAATAAGGTTTCTGAGGATGTATATATCACATTGAGAATTCCACTGACCAATTCAACAACATGAGAAATGTATAATTTGCTTTGATAACTATGATACAGTTCATAATCAAACAGGACAAATCAGTATGTGTTTACTGGTTAAGAATATTTTAATAAATTCACAAGGTATAACTCATTATTATTTATTTAACTCAATGCCTCCGAAGAAACCCTGATAAAAAAACATTCTACGGATTGATATGGTATCAAGAATGCAGATATAATGTGCTACCAGATTCCTAGGCATGCCTTGTAAGTGATCTTTTAGCTTGTAAGACAAGACAAATGAGTCTATAGTATATTTACCATGGCAGTAGTAGCAGCACCAAAAAGAGCAATGAGGGATAAGACAGACACTTGCCCAACAAAAGTAGCCATGGCTTCAAACACTAACACGCCATACACGTAAGGATGCTGCAATTCATTGGCATAAACAGAATAAGTATCAATAAAAACAAATGTTGAGTAACAATCACAATCTTAAAACAGAATTAAAGCTAAAGAATTAATCTTAGGCCTCGGATAGACTTGGAAGCATTACACATTATTTGTCATGATATGATAGTGATGATGGTTTTTGCTTCTCCAAAGAATGTAGCAAAGTGCACCATCTTAAAATATGAGTTAGAGAATAGTATATAATCATAACTTGGAAGTCAACTACCAATTATTGCTTTCTCAGTTAGGTGGATTTAAGAGACATGCAAACAACTTAACTCCAACAATTTTCCCCTTTTTAATTTTAGGTGAAAAATCAAAATGCAAATCATTAACAAAAAGTAAAAAATGGATAAAAAGGAAAGAACTAATAGAATAAAATATAAAAAAGTAAGTCAGTGTACTTTACTTGAGAACAAGAACTCCAAGCCCTAAAGAGCTCTCCAGTGAGAATCATAGGTGCCAGTAAGAAAGGAATCCCAACCACTGTTGAGCAGAACAGCATCTCCATCTGTCAAATTACAAGTATAACACGTAAGAATATTAGACAAAGAAGAAACCAGCATTCAGTGGGAACAATCTTCATTTCAAAAACCAATGGTAGAAAATTGAACATTACCTGGGTTGTATCAGGATTCATGGTGAAAATTGCCTCTTGAAAGTTACCTAGAAAGGAATCCATAATTAATGCACCAGATATCATTATAACACCAACTATGCTAAAGTTTGGTGATGTCTGGGCGTCTGCCAAGGTGAAAAGGATAAGACCAACAATTAAAAGCAACGCAGAGACGTATTCATGAAGTGGGTATTTTCTTCTCAAGCCAGGAATGAAGGCACCCATAATCATGACAGGCAGTACCTAAAATCAAGATAACAGTAGGTCTTATTTTAGTTAGAGAACTAATTAAAAGACCAATTAATCAATAAGAACAGCACAGAATCTATCCTTACATTGCTTAAGAAAGGTCAAAACAAGTAAACTCATCCCAGACTCCACCACTCTTACCTTTGTGGACTTGAACATTATCTGTGCGGGGTAGTTAAGGAAGGCCAAAGACCCCTTGGTTAATCCATGAGAACCCATTAGAACGGCAGAGAGTTTGACATACGTTTTCCATGGATTAACCATTTGCTTCGTCGTGAAGCCTTGAAGGTATATCAGCATCAGGTACACAAATCCTTGTACAAAAGTGAAATACCACCCGTAGCTGGAAAATTCTTGAATTAGGTATGAAGTTTATCTATATATAAACCCAGCACAAGTAATTGAAAAATAGTAAAAAAAAAAAAAATGGTGTACCTGAATTGAAGCCGATTATACACATATTCCTACAGTCAAACAAGAGGACTGAGTTAAGTGTAATAGTGATCAAAGCCATAATGGGACTTCCAGAACAATGTAACAGAGTAAATCCTATTTCAGGAAAAAACTTTCAACAGAAATCAACTTGAGGAAGAGATACAAATTCAGATTCAGAAAAACAAAAAATCCCAAGCCTCTGTTTGGATTCAGAGAAAAAAGCTTACACATCACGTTTGTTAAAAACCAACAATTCAACTAATTTATATCAATAACAGGATTTTCCTATTTCTATTTCCTTTTGATTTTCTCTGCAACCAAACACAAAGTAACAGGGGAAAAAAAAGAAAAGAAAAAGGGAAACTGTATTGATAATTGCCAACATGCATAATCAGAAAATCAGAGCGTAATCAAAAACAAATCAGGGATTCAATCAAGGGTACCGAGATATTTCAGTAAACAAGGGGTATCACTAGCAATCAAATTAAACAAGAACAGAACAAACCTCACAAATGCCATTAACGAGGTAGCCAAAGAAGAATCCAGATGAGCAAATGAGGAATTGTTGCCATTTGGGTCGATCAGAGAGGGAAATCCCAAACAGAGACCTGGTTTGATCCTCCTTCTTCATATCTTCAGTAAAAAAAAAAAAAAAAATCCTGATTCCCCACTAACCAAACAGTCCTCCCCAAAAAAAAAAAGAAACGGGTTTGATTTGATAAATGAAGAAGGGTATATCAAAAGAGGAATATATAGGAAAACTTCACCTGTATATGGATAAAAAGGAAGACGCAGGCGGAGGGGTTTTTGGCTTTGCTCTGGAAACGGACGCAACAGGGTTTCCAAAGGAAGGGCTTTAAAGAAGGAAAGATAGTAAAACCCGAGATTTGTTATGAGGAAGGAAACAAAAACAAGATATTGCTATTGGCAATAAGATAGGACAAAGAAGAAAAGAGTGGGAGGCAACGGGGAAG